CGTAACACATTACTGAAGTCACATCACTTTGTATCTCTGAAAGGAAAAATGATCCGAAGACGAACAGTGATCCAGCCCTTTCAGGGGGACGGAAGACCGTGCCCTTCCCTGATGGAGCAGTCCAAGCCCTGCCCAGTGAAGCCTTGCTATCGGTGGCAGTACGGACAGTGGTCTGCGTGCCGAGTGCAGGTACCAGACGTGAGAGGGTGTGTGAGCTGTGCGTCTGTAGAGACATGCTTGCAGAAATGTTTTGTAGAGCCGGTAGGCTGAAGATTCATGCTCAAAGATTTTAGTTACTTTGCTATTTTGCAACCATTTAATTAGTTTTGAAAACAAAAACTCCCTGTCCTGTACTTTAAGAATCATTTGGAGACCAGTTCATTTTAATGAAAATTTATTTGCTTGTCTTGGGCTAGAAAACAAATGCGTTGTTCAGTGCATGCTTTCTATCTTGTGTCCTACAGGACTTCTTCCCCAGGGTTTCGAATGGTTCTCTAACTGCTCATAAATCAAAATCAATGAGGCTGAGATGACTGTAAGTGATGAGCTCCCTAATGAGTTATTTTCCTTTTGCTAATCAGTCATTCCTTCCTCCACTCCAGGAGGCCCAGTGCGGAGGAGGAACCAGAACAAGGAACATTTCCTGTGTAGTCAGCGACGGATCGACTGATGATTTCAGCAAAGTGGTGGACGAGGAATTCTGTGCTGACGTTGAGCCCATTGTAGACGGCGATAAGAAAGTGTTTCTGGAGGAACCCTGCACCCAACCTTGCCCAGGTAACAGCAGCAGAACACAGCCTATTTGGGGGTTTCCTCCCAGGGCCAGGGTCGAGTAGGTGTTGTGTACACAGGTAAGTTAAGGGATATCAGCAGCCTTTTGAGCTACGCATACAGGACCTGTACCAGCAGTTAGCACCACACTGCGGTTAACCAGGGCACTGCCTCACGACTCTAAGGAGGGTGGAGTCAGCCTCTCAGGTGCCCTCTCTTACTATCCCTTGGGAATCTTACCATTTGCACAGCATTAGAATTAAAGCCTTTGGGGTTTGGTCTGGCATGGAAAACAGATAGCATCGAGATTCAGAAAATCAGTCATGGACATAATCCATTTGAGATTTCCAGGAAAAAATAAAGAGTCAGGAGGTGAGGGCAGGCAATGTTTAAACACATTAGGCTAAATGATATTTAAAGAAGATTTGAACTTTTTTGTGGATGGCTTTCACTTGGCATGTGTTCAAGATTCATTCATTTTTTTGTTTGTACATTCTTATACTGAAAACTTGCTTTAAATCCTGAATAGCTCTCACCTGCGTATGCTGCAATTAAAGCATAACATGGGAAAGCAGTAGGCAATCATAAAGAAAAAGTTAGTCGGGCATGGTGGTGCACACCTGCAGTTCCAATCCTGAGAAACTGCAGCAGGACTGGGAAATTTGATCCCAATCCTGGCAATTTAATGATTTAGTAAAGCCATGTTTCAAAATAGAAATATTTAAGAAGATCTGGGGGTGTAGTTCAGTGTGAACACCCTATGTTCACTCCCTGCTACCAAAAAACAAAAAATCAGATTATCTACAACTTAAAGACAAAATAGCATAATAAGATTATAGAAGAAAATGTTGAATGATATTACTCAGAATCAATGCTAGACAAAAGGAGTGAAGGATGCAAGATGCAGAAAGCAAATATTTTACATTTAATAGTGTAGAAATAGTAAAGGGCAGAAGAGGCTAACATTTAGCAACTGGAGCTTGGTGTGGAGAATTTCAGGGAAAATTTTAGGTCGTGAAACAGTAAGAAAATCTTAGACAAGCTATTTGGGCAAAAGTTTGTGGTAGATATGAAGTGAACAAATTTAGAAGTGAATTAACTTTTATATTCACAAATGGGAATATTTATTCTCCTAATTTTCTTATAAGTATGAAAAAATACATCTTTTTAAATGCATTCTTTTGAACAAGATTTCAAAAGAGTAAAAATAAAGATTTGGCAAAGTAATGATTAGGTCTAAAACATTTTCTATACAAAACAGTATGGTTAGGATTATTTTACATGAGGAAAATTCTTTTATAAAAAGTGTAAGTGCAGACTAGCCAAATAGCTCAGCAGATT